TATTTAATAAAGCCATGGTTAGAAATAAATATATTATTTCACTATAAAGAAAGATAATACCAAAATGGTATACACGCAATTTGAATCACTGGTTAAAAAAAATAGCGCAAATATGCGCAGCTAATTTTTATTTAGTATTGTTCACTGGACTTTTCCCAACGAACTGATATAATTTTCGTCGTGTAACTCGATGAATAAACATACTAAATATCTACGTTTTTAATGACATATAAGTTTAATTTAGTTTTATGAATAATATTTTATCAAATATACTATGGTACACACGCTCACGTACCTTTATCTATCATTATATATACACATATATATATCTCTCATATCAGATTTTATAAGTACCGACGATAATCACTCAATTTAATACCATAATTAACAGAGAACTTATCTTAATTATATTTCGACTATTTACAATACATCGATGTTTTATCAACATTATATTTATGCTATATATAGCATTATTAGCATTTTATGTACTTAAATTAGTGTTTTGTGAAAAAAAAAAATATTTTTAAATAAAATAGGACTTGTACAAACATTTTATTTTTAGAAAATTAAAGTTTTCCAATATTTAAAATAATGATTTTTGGCCACCTATTTTAGTTTTTCGACCACTGTGCGCCCTTCCCAAGACATAGCATGAATTTATTTTTAGACCAGGTAAATTTCTACGGCGACGCGGCGCCCCTGAAAAGACATCGCGGCGCACAGTTTGGGAACCGCTGCATTATAGTGTAAATGGGAATATCCCGAGTACGTTTTTAATTTTTACCTTTTTCATGGCCCCAGTCTTATCGACAGACTAATAAATTATTATTATTGCCCGTGCTCGGTGCACTGCCACAATTATATAGGTATATCAAAGCTACAATATTATTTTCGAGATAAACAGACTAATCCACTAGACGTTTTAAAATACAGGTCTGCGACGATCGAATTATATGACGGTTCAAATGTACAACTATAGTACCTTAACACTTATGAGTAGGGCACGGATGTTGTAGTACTAAAAAAATAGTAAAATTGATTGCAGTATTGCACTAAAAAATACCAAAAATTGCACTTAAAATATTAAAAATTTCACTAAAAAAATGTTTTAAGTTTACTGTTATAAATTATAATCTAAAATTCTAAATAATTCAAAAAAAATATATACATTATATTATAATCATGCCATTATAAATTTATTATATTATACATCATTGCACTGTACTATAAGTGTTTGTTTTAAATTTTCGAAATCAAACCCTCTTCGATTTGGAGCTAGTAAGTTCTTATATCTCGAAAAACTTCATTCTACGTCGGTTGATGTAAGCGGAGCGTATTTAAAATAAGATAAATCGCTTACTGTTAAGTCTTCGGGTAAACCATCGAACGATTTTCTTTGTCCAGTTAGTATATCATTGATTTTAATAATGGTTTTAAGTCATATATAAGTTTTAATATGGCTAAAATAGTTGTATAAATGAGTAAAATCGACAAAATTGCAATAAAATTGAAAAAATCCCAAAAATTGCAAAAAATTGCACTTAAAACTTTTAGATTTGAATTCGTACTTACATGAAACGTATTTAAAACTTACTTAGCAATTAATTGAAAAAGTAGAAAAAAAGTTGCAAATGCAACATCATCCGTGCCCTACTTATGAGTTATGATTTACAACTCACACGTTTACGGGTATATTATGAAGTTTTTATTATTGCGTCGCATACTATTCGCTTCCCTCGATTAATAGGAATGGCGTGGCGTCTAAAATGAAAACGCACTCTCCGTGTTGGCATTTTGAGAATAAATTACTATTGAATCGTACACATATAATTTAGTTTCAGTTTCACATCTACGTGACTACGACTTCGCCGCTACGACTACACTAAATGTCTGTCGTGCACTCGACACTCGTGTACAATCGATATTAATAACAACAATATTAATTATGACTCTACATATAGTTATGATATTGTGGATATTATAAAATAATAAAATATAAATAGATATTATAGGCCCTCAACACGCACACATTTCACATTTTCACAGCAAACTGGAAGGTCGGATCGTACCAATAAATTGCTTACACGCCGCACTCCGATATAATAATAATAATAATAATAATAATAATGATATGTACTTTAGTGTTGCCGACAACGAAGTAACATTATTAGTTAATTGTTGTATATCTTCTATCCCGCGACCCGCAGGCCAAAGCAATAAATTATAATCAAAACTAATTCGATCTATTTTAGACCTCTATATATTAGACATATTATTTTCGGTAAAATACGATCGAGACTTTTGGTAATACGGTTGTTTATTCACGGTTTGTTGTCCTACTTATTCATTTTATGACCCATAGAAATTGCTAACATAAACATTCAGTGAACATGTCATGTACCTACGGTTATAGACTACGATACCTAGTCGATACTCGATACATCGATAGAATTTAATGTGTTGAGTGAAGAACTCCGATAAACATGTATTAAATATCATTTGAATCCCCCCTTTCCAAACATAGACAATTGAATAAACGAAACTTTTCAGAACTATTTTAGATTCTGAGTAGGACGATGAATGTATTGATTTTACAATAATGATGTGTTTTTTTTTTTTGTGTGTGTCTGTGTTCACGATAAGTAGTCAAAATAATACTTCGATTTTCAACTTCAATATCTTGTTCGATTGGAAAGTGAATATCGTTGGTGCATTGGGGGGTCAAAATTTAAAATTCCCAGTAATTTTCAAAAGTGCCTAAAAAAACAAAAGAAAAATTAAGGAAAAACGGGAATTTTTACGCAAAATTGATTTTTCACAAAATTGAATTTTTTTTTGGTGTAACTTTAAAACAAATGACCGTAGATACATACAATTTTCACTTATTATTTATATTTGCATTTTCTATACACGATAACATTTTCAAAATATTTTGATATTTTTTGAACCGTTAAGGGACATTTTCATTTTCCATTTTTTTTTAGTTTTTTTTCTAAAAATATCAATAAGATTTTATTTGTTGGTTAAAAAAGCTTGAAAATTTAATACAAGGATCCTACTATATTGTTACAATGGCATTTGAAAAATATTTAAAATACATAGGCAAAGTTTTTGAAGATCGAATTTTGACAAAATTTATCAAATTTAAAATTGAATAATTATTTTGTAGTTAAAAATGTATAAGATGTTCAACTTTTATATCTAAGGATTGCAAATTTAAAACAAAATGCAATGTAAGTAATTAATTCTGTCGCCAAAAAATCTAAAAAATACACAAGCACAGCTTATTTTTATAGACATTTTAAGTTCAAATTTGGACGAATTTACATATTAAAAAACCTTGAAACCTTGAATAGGTATAATATTATTTTTATGGGTACTTGAAACTTCTAAAGTATAAATTATATATCTATCATCTATGATAGGATCACTGTTTGTTGTTGATGTATTATTGCGTTATAAGTACCTTCCTAATAGATATTGTGATATGATTAATTTGGAATTTATTATAATTCAATTTTTTTTTTAATACCATAGATATGTATATAATATGTCTTAAACCTAGACTGACATACCGTCTACGCTCATATTGTCAATATTTATAAACTTGATTACGTCATGAATGTGTTATGTACTTAACAAATATGTATCTTACTCATGTCCTATAAAATACATTAAGTTAATGACTTGTAAAGGTCATTTTAAAGGTTTGTAAAGGGCAATTGCTTACACATTTCACTGCTCACCGCGGCGGTAAAGCCAATACAATAGAATTTAGCATCACCGCCATCGCTGCAGTCGTGTGTGGGACATTATCGTTTGTGATTTGTGACATACCCAGGGCAAGTCATATATGCAATATAAATCCTTATCTGTGCAGTAACTATTATCATGATAAGGTTGCCCTAACGACGTTGCACCATTCAATGGCAGCAATGCAATATTTTAAGGCGCGTCCAGACGGCATATTTTGCCGCGTGGCACGGCCATGAATATGAATACATAAATACATTTTTCGTGGCTTTTTTTGCTGCATAATTTCCGATCGGCCTATTAGGCGGTCTACATCAAAGGAAAGCCGAGCGGCTTATGCCGCGTTTGTGTGGACGTATTTTCGGCATCAGTACTTATTTTTTAAGTTTTTAAATTATTTTTTAAGTAATTAGTAGCGGAACAAACTTTTTTCAAAAGCCTCACCGTGTGGCCGCGCGGCCGTGCCGAAGGTCAAAAGCTGCTCCGTCTGTACTTACCAAATTTTATATTTACCTTTATACTGCAACATTATCGACATTCTATCGTGCTCAATGTTGTTTTTTAAAAAAAAATTCTTTTATATTAATATTATATCTATGTACCTGTTATATTCTGAGATTTGATGACGTTTTTAAATACGCTGCAGTACGTTAACTTGAAAAGAAATTTATATAATGGTTCATCGTATTATATCATTATACACATCGTGATCAAATTATGTAGGTAGGTACTTATTATACTTTGTATACAAATTAAAGAGACTTAAATCATTCACCAAATATATTTTATATTACCATGCACATGATGATGTATAATTTTCAAAATATTTTGATTCATTTTAAACTACCAAGACATTTTGATTTTTGTATTTATGTTTTCTACATTTTTGTTTTGGTCAAAAACCAAAAAAATATAATTTAAGATTAAGCCTGTATAGTTCATACAACAGATAAACAAATTTCGAAAACACATTCACACATATCTTATTAACAGTTTTCTATAAATATAGCTATATGCATTGGCTTGTAATATTTTCGTTTATATAGATATTGGTCTGTATTAGATACCATAGATTTTCTTTGTGTGTAGTATCTGTTATATTATTATAATAACTTTTGTTATTGAATATTCTTTACTTAGTGTTCTTATACTGAATCTAGAAGTTACAACAAATATTACTTCAATCGAATATTCGAATCTATAAAATATAAATGGCTCTTTTTCTTCAAGGACTCGGGGGGCCTGCGATGCCACCAACCGAAGCCGCTGTAATGCAGCTGGAAGTACGGCTAATGAACTTAACAATTTTGGTCGGAATCTTTTTGGTATTGGTTGTATACACTGGATTCTACGCGTTCATCTATAAGTCATCAGATTGTGTTCGACGTTCGGAAGGAGACAAAAAAGCCACAGAGGTCAACAAAAACGGCATCGACCCATGTGGCTGCCGTCGTTGGTTTCAACCGTTCTGCAACCTTAACGCCGATCCCGACGATTTGCAGTCGACCGAGTGGTTAGGTGATTGGAGTTCGGTTTGCAGCTCAGCTTCGAGTATCTCTGCAGACGACGAGTCTGGAGTAATCTTAAATAGAAATTATTTAGAAGTACCGCCGCAGGAAACCACCCGACTACTGTGAATCGTTGGGAATCGGCATATAATATTCTCCATAGCGAGTTTTTACCCGCGTGGCGAGCATGCGAACTAACAACGCTGTCTGTCACGGGACCATTGGTTAGTGAATAAGTGATTAAAAAAACATGTTGATATAAATTGATTTTAACATATTTTTAAGCTAAGTGAGTAAGCGGTATAACGAACGACAGCCAAATGAAACGTCAAAAATAATACAATAATAATTTCGATGTAATTGATCTGGTGTGGAGTCAATAGTTTTTATTCGTCTACAACTGGATATTATGATGTTATAATACTTATAATATTGTTATTATAAGTATAACGGGCTAATATTTTAAGCTTCATTATATTTTGTATATTATTCTAATAAGTAATAAGTAATAACACAAATACACAGTACTATTTAGTATCATAACTATTGTCAGATTACCTTTTGGAAACAATAACTAAAATTAATAACTATATTTGTAAATCGTACAGCTCTAAGATAAAAAACAGGAAGTATAAATTTAATGTATTAATCACAGCGATGTTCAAAAAGGAAACTCAACTGGAAATATTGAGGATCACTGATATGTATTAAATTGTTAAAACCACTCAAACAAAATATCTACGATTTAAAACCACAGTATCACACTATCACCATTTTATATATTAAATGTGTATACATGAAATATAATAGATATGAAATAAGTACAAAGAATAACACAGACATTTATAAATTCCACCCGATATTTAATCTCTTTACGGTATCTCTATGCTCTATCAGTGGCGCAACTTGCGGGTAAGTTAGCAAATTGAAACATTGGTTTTTAGTATTTTTTCCAGGGATCGAAACCGTTTCAAATTTTAACGGCTACGGTTTAGGTTTTTAAAAACGGTTTTCTACATTTTATGGTTTTGGTTTAGGTTCTAAGATAGGTTTTTCAAATTTTTTGGTTTTGGTTTCGGTTTCAAAAAAGGTTTTTCAAATTTATCGGTACCGATCAAAATGAAAATTTTTTTCTTTACCGATTAACTGGAAACTCTATTTTTACTATTTATTTACTATTTAGAGCTGAAAGCCCTAAAATATATCCGATTTGTATAACTAGTGTAGGCATATACAATATAGGAAATTTAAATTCAGCAGAACTAATTTTGTGTTGTTTATTTATTTATTGAATAAACGGGCGTGAGCCCAGGTTGAAATAATTATGTGTACAATACAATAATACAATAACGTAATATGAATAATATAACAAAGTATAAAATATAAAATTAAACTAAACAATGACTCTTGAGTGTTAAGTCTTGACATTTATTTAGTTGTGCCTTTCGCGTGTGTGTTTAAGTTATAAGTTATAAGTTATAATAAATAATTATATGAATATAATATGATAATTTCAATTTTAAGGATACCTACGTATATATTTATTCTATTTTAGTAGGTATACGTGTTTTTCAAGAGCAATGGACTATGGTAATAGTATCTATACATTAACTACGTTCTAAGGGCAAAAAAGCGAATTTATAAAAGATTTATTAGACTTAAATTTCTTTATTAGGATAATATTACCTATTTTCTATTTACGTAATCGTGAAGTATTTTTAAGTAGTTTATTTGTGTGATATCAGTATATTTTGTAAAATTATTATGTCGACACGAAGAGTGTATGAAAGTAGTTTTGCCCAACGCAAGGTAAAAGAACAAAGAACCACCAGTTTGGATATAATGAGAGTCAAATATCAAAACTTTTATGTACTTTTTTAATAAATTATGTAATTGAACTGTAGGCAAAGATGATAGGTATGTAAAAAAAATATACTATACTTCAATATATATTTTATATTGGCACATCTGAATTGCATTAGATCATATTATGTGGTATATAAACTATCAAGAGTTAATATTCTCTACTATTGTATTTCTCAATATTTTTTAGAACGTTTTGTAGATGATTTTTTACAAAAAACTATAAATATTAATAGGTACTTATTCTATTTTATAAATTTATAATATTAAAAAATATCAAGTTCCTGTAACACAAATGCTGATTGAATAGCAGGATACACTAACCATCTTTTATTGGTTAGGACAGTGGTTAAAAGATGGAGTTTCAATTCTCCAAGAAGTGGTTTGCGATTAGTCAAAAGCATTGTTGGGTGGCATTACCAGTGCTTTTTGCAATGGACTTTCGTTACATGATTATGTAAACAACTGTATGGCTGCATTACATGTAAATAATTCAGCAAGACCCGTTTCCTACTTACGAGTTGATGTTGCTCATTTAATTAAGTTGGTATGTAGGTGGACGTGTTGGAAAGGCAACGAGAAAGCAAATCAAGAGCACATTTTGAAGGAGATAAAATCAGTGCATATTTCATATCAGAATTTGGTGAACAGATTTTAAGGATTTGTAAAGAATTCCCTTTATGGACAAATGTGATGAGGCCTTTTTTTAATTCTCAGTATGAAACTGCAACATCTGCTTATGTCGAGGGAAATTTCTCAGAATTAAAAAAACAGAATATTACCAACATCCACACAAATGTCTGTAGACCGTTTCGTTTTGAAGCACTTGATTAGTATAGAACAAATGATAAAAATAGCTAGAAGTCATCAAACAGATTTAAAAAATACAGATAACTTTTTAAACTTATAATAGTTTAACAATTAAGTAATATATACGTAATAATAACGTAATATAATGTAATACGAGTAAATAATTTAATTTTAATACCATGTTCTTTGGCCTGTAGAAAAAAATGCTCCTGTAATACCAAAGACGGCGAAAACATACTATTACTCCCCAAAAAAGTCTTTATTAGTTGAATCTGAACAGTTATCGCAGAGTTATACTGATCCAGTTGTGAAAGATGCATCGTAGGAGGGAGGGGCTTGTATGCAAAAGTAGTTCACAGCATATAAATGATGACTGTTAGTCATTATAAATTGTTTTTAATTTTAATATTTTTAAAAATCTTATAATATATTTCTTACAGACGTAACATGTGACATAATTTACTGTACCAGTTGGTATAGTTCTGCTTTAAAAAAATCAAGTTCATTATCACTTGACATTTCAGACAATAGAAACAGAAGAAAAGATACCAGTTAGTTATATATTTATATTAAAATATTATATCATTTTCATTTTCATTTTATTCATAAATATTATAATAAAAAAATAAATTATATATTTTAATATTATTCATTTTCATTTTATTTCATTTCTTTATTTTTGAATGTTAATTTAATTTAAATAGTTTCAGATAAACCTTTTGATACATTAATGATTAATGATGAATTTACTACTTTATCTAAAAGGTCTCCATCATTTCAATCAAGTGGCAGTTAAAAACTTAAAACCAATTGAATAACTAAGAAATTATCTATACTAATATTACATGTGTATCACACGTGGCAGAAAAAGGTTAATTTTATATTATTTTATAGTATTATTTCAACTTTATATTTTATGCAGGCTAATCAATATTATACAAATAACGAATGCAATACAATATAATGTTAACTTCTACAGTTTAAGTAAAAGGGTAAAAGTTTTTGAATTTTTTTAATTATATACTGTAGCTAGCTGTGACTACGTGACCAAATAATATATCTAAATACTATTAAATACTAATAGCGAGCGCGTGACCCTAGGACCTATAGGTCCTATAGTCTTATATGCACATATTTTTTTCTCATTCATTGCAATATATTGTTTTTAACCAATAATTACACGTAGTGGCAGGTTCTGAATTTTATTTTATTAAAATTGTTCGCTCTAATAACCAAGCGATTTGTTTCATTTATCAACAGCATTCTATCATTAAAAACAGCATTTAATCGAGATTTTTCTCGTTTCTTAAAGGTATGCAATGTACTAATGTGTAATACTAATACATAATATTATATTTATTTATTTTTTTATTTTTTTTGTTAATTGGAAACTTCTGATTAAGAAGAATTACATTTAGGTCGTAGTCGTGTCGTATAACAAAACAAATTTGGATACCTGTGAATTGAAATTGCAAACATATGTTGTTTGGAAATCTGCTGTGTCTAGATATTTCAATATAACTGTAAAAGGAACAAGTCTATGTACCACAAGACCAGCTACATATTATAATAGTTAAGAACTACGGTTTTTTTCTGATTAACCTACTTTTATCACCATAGAAGCACAAATTATCAATATAAAAATATCAATGATAATCCAGTACCATGTTACTTTTTTTTACATAACGAAGTATATGAAAAAAATAATTTGTAGGATATTAAAACTGAAATGAATAACTCTTACCTATTATTTAAATAGGTTTTTAATTTTTTTTTTTTAAACACTATAAGGTTATCTACTCTCATTGGAGAGATTTCTATGTCAACTACCTCCGTCTGTTGTGTTCTTTCCTATAACATAATTTAATATTATTAATGCTATATTTATATTAAATAATAAATATATACATATTTAGTAGTTTTGTATGTATACTGTATAGGTAGATTTTTTTTGATAGAGGCTTAATAAATTGTATTTAATTAGTTAATATGATGATGATAGAATTATAGTGTTAACACACTTAAAACAAATAATTATATTAATAACCATTGATTTATTTCCCAAGAAAAGTAGTTTATTAAAATTGATTACAAGTGTAAACATTAACTAGGTTCTACCCTCACCTGTTAAAATTAAAAATATTATTAATACCATATTTACTTTATTCATGATAAGTGACCACATAAATTAATTTCAAAATTATTGGTATGCCTAAAATAATGGTAATTTAACATTAAGGAGGGGTCAAGTATTATCAGAACTTGTTCAACCAACTTTTTATTTTACCCTAGGTGTGTGAAATTGTGACTCAAATAATACATATAGACAAAATATTGAAGTAGGTACTAAAAACTTACTTCCTATGCTTTTTCTGTGGGCACCATCTCTGCAGTGTAGTAAACCGACGGAGTCGATTCACTATTTTTTTTACTTTATTACATTAAAGCCACGGCCT